CTCTCCTCCCCTCTTTTTTCGCTTTTCTTCCCTCATTTTTTTTTCTCTTCCTGGGCATTTAGTAGGCTTCCTTTTGGTGGGAAGAGTTTTTATGAAAGCTTTCAGGATCTTAGGATTAGGTGAAACGAAAGGTAGGTGAGCAATGGAACAAGATTTTCATGGAGATTTTCAAGTCAATGTCACATGGTTTTTTGCTTCTATCTCTGGTGTCCTTGACTGAATTGTGCTCATTCTGGTATGGTTTGAAAGATCTGTTCACTCTGCACAAGTTAGTGGACAAAGTTGTCCTTGACCGTTAAATCTGATGACGTCACAAAGGGCAGAAAGGACGTGGATCCGCACAGGCGGTTCAGGGGCGAATGGGTTAAGTATTATCGAGATTACAGCAATTTTGATCAAGAATCTTACTTACAGGATATCAATGCAGTCAACTGGAATGCTATCTATAGTAATGATCTGCATGAGACAGCTACTAAAATAACTGACCTGATTAAATCAATTGCAGATAAACATGCACCAATTAGGCAGTTGTCTCAAAAGAAACAGAAATTGTATACTAAGCCGTGGATAAGTAATGGTATTCTTAAATGAATCAAAACTAAGCATAAATTATACAAAACACACTTTCTTTCTAACAATCCAATTAAGGTGACAAAATATAAAAAGTATGGTAACAAACTGAATTGGCTTAAGAACATTTGCAAAAAGAACTACTTTTCACAACACTTTGACCTACGTAAAAACAACCTGAATGCATCTTGGAAATTGAGTGGTATGCTAGTTAAACGCAACTTAAAGGGGCAAACCCCCATTTCGAAAATTAAACGTAATAATAGAGCTTACACTAATAAGGCTGACATTGCTGATCAATTTAATAAGCGTTTTGTCAATGAGGGTCAAAACCTGGCCAAAAGAATTGAAAATTGTGATAGAAGCCCGACCCAATTCATAAGATCGACTCCAGTAGCTAGCTTTGTTGTGTCCTGTGTTACTGAAACCCAAGTATGTTCACTATTTAAAAGTTTAAATGATCATATGTCATCCTTAGATATTCCTAATAAATTAAAATAGCTGCCCAGCCATTGTCAATACCTTTAACATATATGTATAACCAGTCTATTAAAACTGGAATTGTTCCTGATATTTTAAAAGTCTGACAAATTTCCCCAGTGCATAAGTGCTCGAGCGTCTAGTCTATAATCAGTTATATTCGTTCATAGATAAACATCAAATCTTGTACCAATATCAGTTTGGATTTAGGAAAGGATATTCCACTGAACAAGCTATTCTTGAAATTTCTGACAATCTGAAGGTAGCTACTGACAAAGGTCCTGACTCCAGCATCGCGTATACACAATCATAATACAAGATTTGTCAGTAATCTGAACCATTTTAGGCCAAGAGTATCCACCAACTTAGGTAAGACGTCCTTTAAATTCTCCTCTCCAAAAATCTGGGAGACTGTACCGCCTGGCCTCAAGTGTCTGCCATATCATAGGTTTAAGAAAGAATGGAAGTCCTGTCTTCTAACCAACCAAATCTGACCTTGCTTATATGTTTTATCACCGATATTATCTGAGATTTTATTTCTCTCTTTACTGCTGCCAATTATTTCAACATGACGGTGTCCAACAAGAAAGCTCTTGCTACTTTGAACACTGTACACAAATGAACTTAATGTCTTTTAGTTCATTATTATTTATCAGTTACTTTATTTTCTTACCTACGTACACTTATGTAAATATCTTATATAGTGTGAAATAAAGAATTGAATTGAATTGGCAGAACTGCTCTAGTCGCAGACCAGATTGCTCGCTCGAAATCAAGGACTATCTTTTGAATGGATGGCTCTTCTGGAAGTTTTGACACAACTGCTCTGAACACCTGTATAACTTTAAAAAGTGCGAAAGTAAATGAAAGGGTAAAATTAAGTGAAACTTCTATCAAGCGAAAGGATTATCTGAGTTCTGGTTCTTAGTAGTTTATTGGGATCTACATAAGTATATATTGAAAAACTCGGATCTCTCACCATTTCTGGGCAACGTGTCGCAAAATATTCGATAAAAATCGTCTCCATTTTAAGGCCTCTCGATTACGTATTCGCCAGTCCAACCGAAAACGTAAAATCGAGACTCGTTCCCACGTGTCTCGATGACTCGTTTCAGAAACGAGACACTTTAAAACGGGGCCTAAAACGAGACTTTATTTTTCTCAAAAACGTAGGGTCCAAAACGAGACTCGATTTTTCATTCAAAAACTAGAAAAGGTATTTTCCTGGAGAAGGTTAAGTCCAAAAAGTCAGAAAAATATCCTCTGAAAAAATAGCCCTGTGCTGGCTTTAAAATATGAGAGAAGGGAAATAATGTGATGCAGTTTTTCACTTGTAAGGGCAATGGGAACGAACGGATTGAGCGTAGATAATTTCTGGGGTAAATACTTTATTTATAAATGGGTAAGCCGAAAATCAAATGGTTCGCGCCATTCCGCTTGGGAATCGTCAGATTATAAACGATTGTGAGGTTCTTCAAATTTTCAGAGAACTCTTTTACATTTCAGCAGGTCGTTCTTTTTTATGTGAAAGTTAATAGTCATAATTATATTTGCAAGATTTTTTAAAAGTTTTTTGTTTTTTGTAAAAGGTAGGCACCCCTAGGTAGAAAAGGTTAAAGATGGAAAATAAGATTGAAAAGACACCAGCAAATAATTACGACAGCAACATTTTCCATAAGAAAGAGAAAAATTCTATTTGCATTTCAACTGAGGATGACATTAACGGCTGTCACAGAAATCAACATACAAAAGAGGATAAAAATAAGGAGCAATTGATAATACTAACAAAAAAATCATTTGCTGAAGTTTTTATCTTAACTATTGTATAGCAGCTCAATCATTATGGGATGGTGTGGCTTCGACTCATGGTAACCACTCAGTAAATAATGTTGGTAATTTTAAAAAAAATTACACTGCTCTATTAAGGTAACAACTGCTATTTTCAAGAAACAAATTATTTGTACATTTCTCTAATCAATTATTCTTAATGACATTAATAGCGCTCATCAAATCTGTTTTTGATTTTCTATGCAATGTTCTTTTGGAAATATATTTTCGTATTCGGGCCTTAACGAAGCACTTGACTAATGAAACAGAAGAATATAATGATTTAATATTATTATTCTAATTTTTAACCAATAACAAGGGTAGCCTGAGTATCAGGTCATCCTTATGGGCTACCGGTGAGGAGATTTTAGTTCTCTCCTTATTCGCTCCTCTCTTTCCCCTTCTCACTCAGAAACGCCTGATACGCAAGCTATAACGAGGGAGGCCAAAAACATCACGTGCAACCAAGGGCTAATTCAGTTGCCTTTTTGAAAAAGGCCCATGTTCACCCAAGCGGCCTTGCTTGCCCTATAATACAGAAAAATAATTTCGCGAAGTTGAAAGTTTCTCCCTTCAGTTTGTGTAGGGTGACGCTTCGGCCATTCGTGAAAAAAACGAACACACTGCCCAATCAAAACACCTGCTGAATTTGACAAAGGAAGGGTTTCAAAACAAAAACACCAGCTCACAAAGTCATGTTGGTGAACATGGGCTTTTAAGAGCTAAATATTTTACTCCTTTATATACATGTATGAACGAAGATAAGCAAAATCAACTCTGTTCTGAGCAATCCAACCGTTTCACCATGGACACGCTCATGTGAGCTTTGGGTTTTATTTTCAATGTTAGACTGCTGCCATAAACAAAGGCCCTAGCGTTGCATTGTGACGTTATAAAACGAGATCCATTAGGAAATTGAGCAATTTTTAATTTTCATTGGACAAAAACCTTGTAACAGAATAATTTAAAGAATACGACCTTCTTTTGAGACTTTTTGAGGGATATAGACATGATGAGTTATCTGTGATGACACCAAAGACGATTTACGATGGGAATCCGAGAAAATAAATAACAAATTTCACTAGAACCGGCGACTGTGAAACAGGTAAAATTCTGAAAATTTCATGTGCAAGATGCCAATTTGTGAAATTTGTCATTTTTATTCGCACTTCCATAAATAATTCTCTTTGGTGTTATTGCAGAAAACCAATTACATCTATAGCCCTTGAAAAATGAATGCGATATTCTGGTACAAGGCTTTCTTTTTGCACTGGAATTTTAAATTTACTCAATTTCTTGATGGGTTCCATCATAATTCGATGTAAAGAATAATGAACTTGACAATTAGCTTTCCTTTACCATCAACCCAGCGATTGATGTTGGCCACATTGTGCCCCCACATCTCTCCTTCCTTCAGTGTAGTCGTCGGGAGAATATGAGTTACTTGCTCCACCTCTCCGGGCGACAACACCATTCTATCGATAAAAAGACGCTAGTTTCATTCATTTATATCTTTAATGTGACTCACCAATCAGCAAAAATTTGTTAATTTGTGGTGTGAAAATTCAGTAGTATCAGATAGAGCTAAACTGTTCAAAACTAGTGTTTCGATGTATTTTGTACAATAGGGACCCCATCTACTTTCAAGATCGGCCTAACTTCGTGAAAAGTCAGAAAGCAAAACGCGTATAACAGTGAGCAGTTCATCTGAGACACGATGTATTGAGAATGTCCAATTTAATTGTTTTATCTTTCCTTTTTATGAACTTATAAGGCGGTTTGGTTTTTTCTTCAAGCAACATTCATCAACATTTTTATGTTCGTCAGTACATACGTAGTCCTCCTACCTGAGCTCCACTCTAGCTGGGAAGGGTGCAGCGACCAGCTGTATAAATAATTTGAGATCTTGCGTTAAAATGGCCCTCCATTTGTGGCCATTTGGTGTAGTCCATTCACCGCTGGTAAGTGGCCCTTCATTCTTATCTACTAAGTCTCTCACTCGCCTTGGGAAGTTTTCCACAGTCCACCGGAAAGAATGAACCGACTA